CCTGCACTGCTGCTCCCACAGGGCCTCTAACCCCCTCCTCCCCCTGCAGACCTTCCCTCCACTGGAGGCTCACTCAGTGTGGCTGCCAGTGGGAAGAAAGCAGAGGCCGCAGCCTCGGCCCTGGTGGACGCTGACGCAGACCTGGAGGAACGGCTCAAGAACCTGCGGAGGGACTGACTGCTCCAGGCCCCCAGGGGCCCAGTGGATGAGTTTTCACTGTACCCTTTCCTTTATGTAATAAAAGAGATTGAACACCAGTTCCTGGGCCTGTGTGACTGGCCTTGTGTAGGCGACTGGGGTCCCTTGGGTAGGAGTCACTCAGGGCTTCTGTGTTGGGCCAGTCAGCATGGCTGTCAAGGGACCAAGTGCCAGAGAAGTTGGGTATGGGCTGGGGAGAGCAGGGATGGATTACCCCTTCCCAGCCTCCAGTACCTCAGCCTCAACACTACCACCCCCAAGGTGGGTGACTCTAGAGAGGAATTCAGGCCTTTCTGCCAAGTATATATAGTGCCCAACTCAGCTTGGCCCAATGGGGGGCTCAGCCCATCAAGCAAGCTCACAGAAATGATTACAACCATGTGCAGGAACACAGCCTCCAGTGTGTGCACCCTCCCAAACACCTTAAGTGCTCCCCATATCACAGGGGCCCAAGCAGGGGGCTCCTCCCCACTCCCTGGACACCAAAATGTCTGTGAACAAGTGGCCCCAGCCCTACTCAGCTCACCAGAGCTTGGGGAGGGATAGATGCAGGCAGAGACCAGACCCAGGAAAACTGTCCCCACCAACCAAGGCCTGAGGAACTCGTGAAGTTTTTATTAAATCCACAGAAGTAAAAACCATATTGTGAGGGGCTGGGGAATGGGGCTACCAAGGAATGGGAGCCAGACCAAAGGGGAAGGGCAAGGGGTGATAGGACACACCCAGGCTGAGCTGGCTCAAGGGGCCCAGCTTCAGGGACCATCACCAGGGCCACTGGACAACTCCTGGGCACTCAGGCCAGCACCAGGGAGGTTCAGTGGCGGGGGCTCCACCAGCACAGCAGAGAACTTGGTGTCACCAAAGGCCTCATTCATGCGAGTCTCAAAAAAACGCTGCAGGCCGATGATTGACTGCACATCTGCCTTGTCCTGGACAGGCAAATTCAAGAGGTGGGTTCCCACTCTACCCCAGCCCCAGCCCCAGCCCCAGCCTATCCACAGACTCACCTCCGTCAGCTTGTTAAACTGCTTGAACATCCGGCCCACATCCTGGGCAAACTCTTGAGGAGAGCTGTAGGGGGGTGACAACTTCTCCTGGAGGCGGGCACGGATCAGGGTCAGGTCCAAGGTGCCACCAGGCTGATCCTACAGGCAGAAGCCACAGGCTGAAAGTGAGGCCAGGCAGCCCCTGCCCCTGACACACACACACTCCCAGGTCCCAGGACTCACCACAGAAAAGCTGGAGTCGGTGGCCAGCTGATGCAGGGGCCGGCAGGGCTCATGGCAGAACAGGGCCAGCAAGACACGCTCACATTTCTGTGGACAGTAGGAGTAGGACTTGTCAGAGTTGCGGGGGTGG